TGAAAAGCAGGGAAGCTAATGATGCAATCCTTGATAATTGTAGAAGTGAAATATTTATCAGTTTTTACCTATATCCCTATCTCTTCTTAGGACCCATATGTAAGTCCATAGAACTAGGTCAGAGGGGATTAGAATTAGCACCATCCTAAAATACTCAAAATCACTTTTCTTCTCAGCAAAGAAAGGCTTTGATTTTGGATCAGGCTTTTTGTACTTCTTTCACCTTCCTTCGGAGTGAACTTTTTTCCAGGATGCTTCAGCTCTGTATGTAAGTAAGCATTAGTAAGATTTTATATTTGTTGATAACACAGGATGAGATTTGTAAGGGTTAAGGAGGGACCTCTATTACATGAGAACCTCTGAGTGCTATGTCACAGCATAGTCTCTTGTGACAAAATACTCAAGATAGTTAACCTATGAAGAAAATGTTTATTTTTGGATCATACTTTAGAGATTTCGGTCCATTGACCTTCGGTCCTGTGGTGGGGCAGCACGTCACAGCAAAGTGTGTTGTCAAGGATTACTGTTGACCTCCTGGCGGCTGGGAAAGCAGAGATAGGAAGGAGCCTAGACAAAGTTCCCACCTCTCCTTCTTTTCACCAGACCCTACCTTTAGAGCTTCTACCACCTTGCAGTAGCTGAGAAGGCTGCCCTCCAAGCCTTTAGCCTATGGGCCTTTGGGGAATATTGAAGAGCCAAGCCAAAACAAGTCTTTCTATTTCTTCTTGTTTTCTTTACTTTATCTTCATTCTACCAGTGTGGTGCTACTCTGCTTATGCCCATTTTGTTATATATTTACACATTTAAGTGAAGTTTAATCTTTAACTTACTGGTAATCTTCTGAGTAGTTATTTCACTTACACTAAAAATGTTAAATTCAAACTAAAAGTTTAATTGGTGCAAAGATCAAATTTGTAATATAATAATGTATTTGGGTCAGAGGAAGCACTCTCCCAAAGATTTCAGTGTATACCAACTAGTGGCAAAATTTTGTTCTTTTAATTATTGGTGAAACCTACCAATAATTAAAAGCATAAAGGGGCTAAGAACTGAATCAGATATCTTGAATAATGCCAATGTTTTTGGGATAGCTTCAACCACCTACCTTTCTCTCTGAAGACATAAAACCATACTTTGGGGTCCTACCTGTACTTTGCAGTAAGCTAGCTGTGCCTAAATTTCATCTCTTAATTTTTGAGAGGACAGTATCTTAGATACATGAAATATGCTATGGAGAGACAGTATCTAAGCAGCAACAACTGACAGATTGAGACATGATCAGTAAAAGGGAGCTGGTGCCAGTAACAGCAAAATATGGTTGTGAACAAAGAACAAAGAGCATCCAGTGTTTTACCAAATCGTCTTAAGCTACATGTCTTGGTTACTTTCTGGTTGCTGGGATAAAGTGCCTAATATCCACAAGTTAAAAGAGGGCGGGTTTATTTTGTCTCATAGATTGTAGAAATTTCAATCCATAGTTGGCTGGTTCTAAGGCAGGGTGGCATGACAGGAGAAGCAGTTCAGGGCATGGCAGGCAGGAAGCAAAGAGGGATCAAGAGAGAAGGAAGGTTATCTACTGTACACCCTCCCAGACCACACCCAGTGACCTACCTCTTTCTACCAGGCTTTACCTCCAAATATTACACCCAGCTGTAAAGGCATCCCTGAACTAATCCAGAGATGAGGATCACACACCCGTTTTCCCACTTCCCCAAAGCCCCCCTATTAGCACATGAGGCTTTGGGGAGACATCTGTCATATTTCCCTGAGAATACTACCTACCTGAACAATAATACGCCTTGAAAACTAGCAATCAAAAGTGCCAGCCCTGATTAGCCCATTCTTGCCTTACCTGCCTTACAGAGTAGCAACCAAGCAAGAGCATAGCGATGGCAGGTAAGGCAAGGGTAGGCAAGCTTATTATTTTCGAAGTCCTGTAGTATTCAAGTAAAGAGTGTAGATATAAATGATATACAATGTAGTCTTTAGCTTAGACTAATCTAACTGTCTGAGAAAACAGCCATTTATGGCAGTGGACAAAGTACACAATCCTAGAAAGTTAAAGTGTGTCCTTTGCCCTTCCAGGAAATATAGTCACAGGAAGTGCCTACTTTTTGCCTTTTGGATTAGAAGGGAATAAAATGAGAAAAATGCAATTCTCAGAAATTAAAATAAACTAGTTTCATAATGGAATTCTTTGATTTATGTATTAAAACAAGCTTTCTTATAATTGTACCAGTTATTATTTTTGTGAATAATTACTACCTTTTTTCTTCCAATGTAGTTATGAGTTTAATACTGACTAGTGTCTATTAAATAGCATATATTTCTAAAATATTTAAACTACAGAAAGGAAAATAAATTTATTTAGAAAAGTAAAGAATTGCCTGCTAAGATGTTTTAAAAAAAATAAATAAAATAAGTTTACTCTAGAATCTTCAGATTTGAGACCATTCTAAACTACATAATTAGAATATTAGTACATTAAGCAGAGATGTGTCTTATTCAATAATTAGATTCAAAAATTTCATATATCCATAATTACTCTTCAAGAATCACTTAATAAGCCAGTATGTTAACATCTAGTAATCAATATTAGAAAATCCGAGTATGTATTGGCTTGTGTTTAAAAGCTGTATTGCCTTTTTTTATTTTAAAGAGAAAAGAACAAAACCCAAATAACAAAAACAAAACAACACGAAAACTATTAAAAAAAAAGATACAGAATTTCAAAACAAGATGATAGGAAATCTACAATGGTTGTTGTATTATTTACTGTTATCTTCAAAGTAGTTGCTCAGAGTACCAGATATAGGCATGCGAGATTGGTCAGTTAAGTATCTTTTAGCATGTGTACTTTCTCTTTGTACCCTAGGGCAGTAGGGAACCTATGGCACATGTGCTGCAGCGGGCTGTTTGTGTTATTGAAAGCTCTCGCAGGTTCACCATCACTGCCCTAAAGAGTCAGTCACACTTTCTATGGAGAGATGCTCAGACTATGATTGGTATGTGGGCCTTATAAGCAACTGAGAAATGGGCAAATTCATGTCACCTACATCATGCTTACTCAAAGCTAAGTGGTTATTGAAAGTCAGGCTGAATTGCCAAAACTATTTACACGTAAATGGTCATTTTTCTTTATGTTATTGCTGAGCTTACTGTAGTTGAATTTGTAAGAGTTATGTTTGTGAAGATATAGCTCCATAGTATATGATTATTTTGTTATGTTAAAAGTTCTTCCTGAATTTTTGTATATTTTCATCCTTCAAGTAGGAAGCAGGGATGCTATACTATATCATTCCTTTATTCTTTGCAGATAATGGATTCTGAATTAATGCACAGTATAGTAGGAAGCTATCTTAAACCTCCAGAAAGATTGTTTGTTCCACCATTTATGCAAGATGAATCGTCTCAGAATTGCCACCCCATGAACTTAAAAGTTGCTCCTGCTAAAGTGCTCCATAGTCCAAATAGCCAAGGTAATTTTAAATAAAAAATTTGCACAAAACTAGAGGAGTGATATAAAATATGTTATAAAACCTTACCTATTTATTTTTTGTCATACTGGGAATTGAACACAGGCCTTCACATTGAGCTATGTCCCTGCCTGCCCCACCTCCCCCAGCACCTTTCCTTTGAGATAGGGTCTCACTAAGTTGCCAGGTTGGATTTGAACTCACAATTCTTTTGGTTCAGCCATTTTTATGCAGAAAAGAATATGGTTGTATATTAAGTTTTTATAAAACTCCTAAATTTTACCCAGGGCTAAATTTCTATGAATTTAAATAACTTAACATTTTTTATTTTGGCTTTTTAATCTGTGTGATGAAAGTTAATAAAACAAGCTGGATGTATAGCTCAAGTTTATCATAAAAACAGCAATTAATGACTAGAAGGATTATTCAGTGGTTGAGTAGGCCTAGCATGTTCAAGGCCCTGCCTTCAATCCCTAGTACCACCAAAAAAGAGAGAGACAGACACAGAGACAGAGACCAAAAAAAAGATATTATTTATAAAACAAAGTACTCTTTAAAGAATAAAAGGTCAAATTTGGAATCTTTCTAACTACATGATAAGAATGCTAATGAATTAAATAGTGTGTGTCCTAGTCAATGACTAGACTCAGAAATTGGATATATCCAAAATTATCCTTTAAAATTCTTTTGCACTTCATTATATTCAAGTAACTACAAAATATGAGTACTGTAACTTTTTGAATGTAAACTTAGGAAAATGTTAAAATTGATTTAGGAAAATATTTGTCACCCCAGGCTTACCTTGTGCTATACAAATTACCTTAGAAGATGCTGATTGTTGCCTCCTTTTTAAAAATTCATAATGGTTCCCATTAATAAATAGATTGGCTTTTTATAAACTACAAGAAATAATAATTCAAATCAGTGAGCTAGCTACAGATATCATAGGACAAAATAAAGATAATTTTTATCTCATTTCTAAAAACCGAATGATAACTTCTAGCAGACATTTTCTAATGGATTATAAACTATATAAAATTTAACTTGGAACATTTATATTCTACTCATTGTTAGTTTTAGAGTTTGACATTACAACTAAGTAAGTATAAAATAGTATTTGAAAATTTTATGGCTCATGAGACATGTTAGAGCACATTTATCCCCCTTTAGGGCTTTAGTTATGTTTCTATGAGGCATATACATATGACTTGGACATATTTATGACTACTTACAAAAATGTACAGCTTATTGTTTTATGTTACACTATGTTACTGCGATTGTAAGTTTTGTTTTTTTGTTTTGTTTTGTTTTGTTTTTGAGACAGGGTCTCACTTTGTAGTCCGGGCTGGCCTTGAACTCTCATCGATTCTCCTGCCTCGGTCTCCCGAGTGCTGGAATTACAGGCCTGTGCCACTATGCTGGGCTTTTCTCTGTTTGTTTTTTTGTGATTGTTAAGTTTTTAAAATGTTAGATTTTTAAAAACTTTCACTTCAAACACGAAATAAATTTTCTGTTTTTCAACAGCTCTTATTCTAGCCTTAAAAACTCTTCAGGAAAAGATTCATCGTTTAGAGCTGGAGCGAACACAAGCTGAAGATAACCTGAACATACTTTCTAGAGAAGCAGCACAGTACAAAAAGGCCTTGGAGAATGAAACAAATGAGAGAAATCTGGCACACCAGGAACTGATAAAGCAGAAGAAAGGTAGAAAATGCAGGCGTTTTCTGAAGGGAGTGTTGGGGGGCTACCAAAGTTTACAATTGGAAAATGAAAAATCTAGTCTAGGCAGATTTATTCAGATATTTTTGTTGTTGTAAACAATGAAACTTTGAAATTAATGTAACTTTGAACTCACTTCTATTGTACGTTACCCAAATTCAGAAATTCTTGATTAAAAGAAAAATAGTTTTTATATAAATTACATTTAGAAATTAAGATATTTTCAAAATAACCAACAAAATCCAGTTTAACATATAATATAATTGAAATGCTTTATATTTTCAGTTAATAGTAATTTTTAAAATTTGAAATATAAAGAAACAGTAATTAAACAATATAAAAATAAAATTAACAAAAAAGAATTCATTAGCATAAAAGGAAAACAAGATTAGTTAAAGGAAATAGGCAAGCAGGTAGAGGCTTTTGTGAAAATTATGAAAATGATTTAAGGCAGGGTTTTGGACATTAGAATGTAAGCTTTTTATATAATTTCCTTTCAGCACTATAATTTTTTCCTCTTGTAACACCACACTTAAACAAAGTTCAACTTGTATTTTACGTTACAAATAGAGAGCAACAGAGGAAAAATTGTCTGAGAAAAAAGAGGAAGAAAACAAAAAGTTAAAAGATTAGAGATAGGTTGCTTTACCCCTTATAAATTAACTGTATGGTCAGTATTCAAAGGCAGAGGAAAATCGAGTAGCAGAGTGTATATTCCTGAGTTTCCTGGAAGAGAAGAAACATACTGATACCTAAAGGACCTTACATCTTCGAGTTTTGTGGATGGTGTTATTTCGTAAGAACAGCCAAGTTATTTATCATCCCAGAAAACTCACTGGCATCCTCCCCTTTCAGAAGTTTCCTCACAGGTTTTTAGGGGAAGACAGTGTTAAATCAGTTATAACAATCAATGAGGTATTCACAAAATGTGTGTTTAAAGTCAGTACTTACAAGCTGTGTGGCTTTCCTCACAGTAGCCCACTCTGTGTCCTCCAGAATGTGCTATTGTCTGGCATTTTCCTGTTTTACTCCGCCTAAGCTCACTCCTCAGAGCCATTTTCTGCCTGATTCTTCACTCTTACTTTCTCAAATAAACTTTGCTACCATTAAAAAGTAGAGTAAAAAAAAAAAAAAAAAATCAATACTTACAAGTAAAAGAAGCCTTGAACTGAAGCTCTTAAGTAAATTTTCATAATACTTTTCTCATTACTATACTCTTACCTCTATGTGATAAGCAACTAATTGACTCATTATCATTTTGTCCTTTTCATAGACATAAGTATACAGTTAAGCTCAGCCCAGTCTCGCTGTACTCTCCTAGAGAAGCAACTAGAATACACAAAGAGAATGGTTCTTAATGTAGAACGAGAAAAAAACATGATCCTAGAACAACAGGTGAGCATGTTTTCTATAAGGCATGATAAGATAATTTTACGTATTTTTGAAGAATACTTAGTATGAGAAAATTGTAAACTGGGATATAAAGCTGTATATAGGAAATTTCCAATAACGGTACTGATGGACTAGACCATTTATACCAACTTTTTTTTCAGAGAACATCTGGACTAATTTTTTAAAAAATGAAAGAAAATACAAAAGACCTGGTATTAGGAAAAAAACAAAACAAAAAAAGATACACAAAGGCACTGGAGAGCAAACAAGTCAGTGAAAAATAACCAATTCAAAATCTTTGTACACACTTAAATCCGAAGAGTTTGGCCTGACATTTCAGGCTCCCTCTGAGGGCATTTTGGATTTCAGAGGAGAGAGTTGAGAGCCTAAATAATGCCTTTGGAGGCTGGGGATTTAGCTCAGCAGCACAGTGCCTGCCTAGCAAGTGCAAGGTCGTGAGTTCAATTCCTAGTACCAGAAAAAAAAATGGAAAAAAAAAAGTAATGCCTTTGGAAACCATCTTCAGGGCCAAGAAAATTTAAAATTAGAGTATAGGGCCTACCAAGAGTAGGAACCTTAGCAAATCTTATGTTTTAAGTGCTTTGAAAGGGTGAGCAAGAAGGAAAGCAATCCAGATTACAACCCTATTTCATGTTTTCAGAGTGCCTCAAAAACCTTAAAAATCCTGAAATTGGATTAAAATGATTCTGTAGTGCTAGTGCTCTCAAGGACCTTAAGTTATTTCTATAACTATTGCTTCAACACGGTGAGCAGCTTTCAATCAGATAATGAGGCGGAAAACGGTAAGAATTCATGAACAAGAAACAGCATCTATAACAGACGCCACAGACTAGCTCCAGCTAGATATTGACTAAGAAACACTGACTTTAAAATAATCAGGCTTGCATTAGTCAGTAAGACAAAGGACATGGTGGGGATTTTGAGTTTAGTATTAGAACCCATAAAATAGCAAAGTAAATTTGAGAAAGAATCAAATAAAAATTATAGAACTGAAAAAATAAAATAACAAATCTAGAACTCAGTGGACAGATGTCAGAGCAGATTAGAAAAGACAATTAAATGGAAATAGAACAGATTAGTAAAAAGATAAAATTACAGTAAATTCATAAAATGGAGTAAGAGGCATCATTTCAGAGAAAGTCTGACTTAGTGTACTTATAATTTCAAAAGGAAAGGAGAAGAGAATGGAGCAAAAGCACCATACAGAACAGTAATGGGTAAGAGTTTTCCAAAACTGGTTAAAAAATAAAATCATACCACACATTCAAGAAGCTCCATAAGCCAGGTGTGGTGGTGCATGCCTGTAATCCCAGCACTCGGGAAGCTGAGGCAGGAGGATCGTTGTGAGTTCGAGACCAGTCCAGGCTACAAAGTGAGCTCAAGGCCAGCCTGAACTGCAGAGCAAGACCCTGTCTCAAAAAAAAAAAGAAAAAAAGAAAAAAAAAAAAGAAGCTCCATGAAATCAAACAGAATAAATATAAACAGATATACCTAGATACCTCATAATAAAACAAATAATATAATAAACCAGAAAAAATTATTACATTCAGAGAAACAATAAATAAAGTGATAATCTGACTTCTGAAGTGACAGTACTGAAAAGTGTGCTAATAAAGAGTTAAGGTATTAAAAGAAAATAAATACTGACCTAGAATTCTCTGCCTGGTGGAAATATTTTTAAAAAGAACACAATTGGGGCCATGGATATAGCTCAGCGGCACAGCACCTGCCTGGCAAGCTCCTGAGTTCGATTCCTGGTACCAGAAAAAAAGAACACAATTGGAAGACTCATATAACTTGATTTTAAGATTTCTTATAAACATAGATAGTCTTGATATAAGGAGAGACCAACATTAGAAAGTAACAAATAGATCCTACCCATATAATCAACTATGTTTGACAAATATGCCAAAACAATTTAGTGGGAAAAAGGAAAATCTTAATAAATGGTGCTGGAACAACTGGACATCGGCATGGAAAAAAATTAACCTTAAACATATTCTTTCATCATGCAAAAGTTAATTCCAGAGGGATCACAGTCCTAAATAGAAAAATGAAAAGTAAAAGGCGGTAGAAGAAAATGTTTTAAAAAATACTTTGGTAGTTTCTTACAAAGTTAAATATTCATCTGTGATATGGTTCAGCAACTTTTCTCCTGGATATTTACTGAAGGAAAATTAAAACATGTCCGCAAAAACTTTTTTATGAGTGTTCATAAAGGCTTTATTCATAATATTCCAAGAGCTGGACATAGTGTTGCACACCCCTAGTGTGCTGATGGAATTTGGGAGGTTGAATGAATTTATAGAGAGAAACAAAGATCCAAGAATCACCAACCTGTTCTGGAGAAGGAAAAGGTAAGGATCTTGTTCTACCAGATCCCATCTACCTATCACTTTATAATTTTATTGAATTTTTGTTGTTGTTGTTTGTTTGTTTGTTTGTTTTCTGGTACCAGGAATCAAATTCACGACCTTGCACTTGCCAGGCAGGCGCTGTGCTGCTGAGCTAAATCCCCAGCCCCTTTATTGATTTTTTTTTAAGGCAAAATTTGTTTTCTTTTTCTCAGGAGTTTTTTTGTTCACTTTCTATTTCATTGATTCAAATTTTGTTATTCTTTTATGCTTTTATAAGATTTAATTTCCTCTTTTAGAAAGGGTTGTATATATTTTTTTAAATGTTTTCTTAGTACATGTTTGTAGTACAAAATGATTATATTCTTCATGAGGAGTTGGTACATATATACAACAGTCTTCATTCTTTCTTCATTCCCATCACCTTTCCTCCTGCCTGCCGCCATTCCTTGATCCCCTTCCCTTCTGAGAAAGGTCTCTTTACTTCCTGTTGTCTTTCATTTTGCTCTTTGTTTATGTTTTGGGTTTCTCATAGAAACCATGCTCTTTCTTGCTTTCTTTTTCTCCCCTTTCTCTCTTTCTTTTTCTCTTTCTGTCTTTCTATGTTTCCCATACATACTGATCACATTTATCATGGGGAATTTTCTGCCTGTACATAATATATCTTAATTCTTTCTTTTTGTCCCATTACGCTCACCTCCCTTAAGCACTTCTTCCCTTCCCAATGTAGAGAAGCTCTGTTTCCATTTTCTCTTTCAGTTATCTTTTTAAAACCCCTTTTCCTTTCTCTCTCACCCTCCTTGTCCCCTTCGTATTTATACTTTGGAGCAAATAATGTGATATTTAAACTTTTGTGTCCAGTTTATTTTACTTAAAATTATGGTCTCGAGATGCATCCATTTACCTACAAAGTCTCAAGTTTATACCTCTTTATGGCAGAGTAGTACTCCATTGAATATAAATACAGTCATCCCTCCCTATATTGCATTTCACTTATTGCGGCTTCACTGTATCATGGCTTTTTTTAAAAAATGGATCTAATTCTGTATCACAGAGTTTTTGCTGTATCGCAGGATTTTGCAATATATAGGTATTTATGTAATATTTATGATTTTAATTATTTTGCCTAAAAAATTAAAACAATATAAAAATATTAAAATGTTAATTCAAACATATTAAAAGAATACTAAATCAAAATAAAATACAGTATGTATTTCATTAGTGGATGAATACTGTACTGTACACAATGGAAATGCAGTATCCCACTACCACTTGCACAAGTTTACTAATGTGAGATTGTACATTCCCATTTCACAGTATCTGTTATACATTGTGGTCCTTACTTGATCTTTTAGCTTCTTACACTAGGGCGACAATATGATGTTTGCACATGTTAATCTGATTTATTGCACGTAAGAGTATGCAATATAACAACCATTGTTAATTCCTATCATTTTGTTTTGAAATCCTGTATCATTTTTATTGTTTTTGTGTTGTTTTGTTTTTATCTTTGTTGTTTTTTGTTATTTTTTTAATTCTCTTTAAAATAAAAAAATACTAATTTCCTTCCTTATAGTAGCTTTGGGTTTAGATTGCTCTTCTTTTTCTAAAACCTTGACATTTAGCATTATGCTATTTATTTGAGCTCCCTGTTTTTCTGATGTGGGAATTCACCTTTATAAATTTTCCTCATAGGACTGCTTTCATTGCATTCTACAAATTACAGTGTCATTAATTGTAGAAACTGTCACATTTCTTCTTTAATTTTATCTGTAACCATTAGTTATTCAGGAGCATATTAATTAATTTCCATTTGTTTAGATAGTTTTTATGGTTCCTTTTGCCATTAATTTCCAGTTTCATTGCACTATGATCTGATAATATGCATGAGATAATTTCAGTTCCTTGGCATTTACTTAAGCTTGCTCTGTGAGCTATTATGTTGATTGTTTTGGAGAAAGTCCCATGTGCTCCTGAGACTGTGTATTCTGTTGCTGGGTGGAATACTCTGTAGATATCTATGAAGTCCATTTGTTCCCAGGTTTGGTTCACCTCTGATATTTTGTTGATTTTTATTTTATTTTATTTTTTGTGTAGTGGATCTGTCTAGACAAAACAGACGTGACAGTGGAGTATTGAGGTTCCCCACTGCTTATCTAGTATTCTATATCTATTAGTGTTTGTTTTATGTCATTGAGTGTGCTAGTATTTTGGTGCATATATATTCATGATTTTTATCTCTTGCTCCTGGATTGTGCCTTTAACCAGTATATAATGACCTTTTTTGTCTGTTCTGATTGGTCTTGGTTGAAATCTACTTTTCTGCAATTAGAATAGCTACTCCTGCCTTTTTCTAGGCTGCTGTTACATGGGGTATTGTTTTCCATCATTGACTTTCAGTCTGTGAATTTCTTTTTGAGTTAAATGTGTTTCTTTTTTGCAGCATATAGTTGGACCTTGTTTCTTGATTCATTCCACCAATCTGCTTCTTTTGATTGGTGAATTGAGACCATTCCTATTGATGATTATAACTGATATGTATTGACTCATCCTTGTCATTATATTATTTTCCTGTTGGTTTCCTTTCTTTCCCTTCTGTTTAATTGCTGTCCTTGCCTGGTAGATTCA